GCATTTAAAAACATGAATAAAGCCTTATGCAACTTGATAACACTATCTTTCCAGTTCATTGGAAGTGAACATCATTTTCCAGCAAGATTTCTTGATTTGAAAGTTCTATTTTGATTACACCCAAGGGCAAAGTAGTAACTAGTTTGTATGGATCGTTAATAGCTCTGCAGAAATCAGTTAACTCATAATCGTGTGAGCCATGTAATTCCGAATGTAGTAATCTGAAATAAATAAAACCGAAAATTAGTGAAGTTGGTAATGATCACTTGTAACTACAGTCGTAAAAATGCAGTTTTGCTAATCAACATTAAAACAAGAAATTAAGAAGATAAGCTGATGTTCTTGGTGACAGTTCAACTTGACACACGGTTACCCCACGTTCAATTAATCACCGCCCAAGCCACTTGAAGTACACAGGTTGGAAACAGAAAAAATAATCTCGTTACACAGTCTGATTTTCGAAGGGATTCAAAAATCCATTTGAAAGTGATGAATAAAAACAGTTTAGGCATTTCAACGCCATGCGGTTTATAGCATTTTACTAAGATCTTCACAAGAACTCGGGCGATTCCATATTCTCTTGACCTATCTAAACTCGCGGTAAACTGGACATTCCTTTAAAATGAGACCACTATAACACCACACGAACTACATGGTTATCTTCAGTACATTAAGGCATGGAATTGGAGACTTGTCTGAAAATAGCTCTTTTCTTACTAGCCTAGATAGAGGCTTTGTTACTCAGCCGAAAGAGCTAAGAAACTAAACATCAAACGATCGAAGTTTCACCATCGACATGCTTGTAGACAAAATGAGAGTTCTTAGAAAACGTGTTGACAATACTGAGGGTTCTGAAAAACAGAAAGAAGCTCAAAAACAGTATCAGAAGCGAAAAATGTGTAGGGAAACATGTCAACATAATGGAGTGCAGTTCACCTCTGGAATCAGTAGTAACTACAACATTAACATGACGTGCTATTGTGAAAAATCAACTTTTGAGACGTCAAAATTATTCTTTAACATTCAGAAGAAGGAAATTACCACACAATCAAATCACTACATTCATCTAACTTGGAAAACGAAGGACGATTTACTTCAGATCACATGAACTAATATAAACAATAAAAATGTGGTGAAAAAATAATTTCAGTTTTATTTTGAAAAGAGACGTAGACTAGAGTATGTTAATTCTAGCAACGATAGTTTGTCAGTTGACCCAATATACTATTGAAAATGTCGACAAATGGAGCTTCAATCATATGAATTTCATTTGTTGATGATTCGATAGGAAATTTTATAGTCGGATAATAACTAGTTTGTTCTGCGCTTGTGAGCATTTTAAAAATGTCATCGTAATTCCTATGTGTTGAAAGACAAGGAAAGTGAAAACATATCAGGTGCAGATTTATCACCAAGTAACTTAAAATTTGCGATCAAAACGCCTCTGGTTCTTTTAAGTAACCATAGAAATAGGTTGAGTTTATGCAGTCGAGCAGCATACTAGAGCATTACCTTTCAAGGAATCAGCTTAGTTGCGCTTCGTTTAACCTTTACCAACAGCTCGCTGCTTATTTTTAGTCAGAGGTTAGCTGCTTCTATGCAGTATTCTTCGATAGGTGATTTCGAAAGACAGCTTATTTAATGAAACCGCATAATCAACGAAGCGGAAAGCAAAGCGCAATATGATATCCATTTTTTACAGAGATCCCGAAAACAATCGACTTTCCACTCATGTGCGTGAAATTTCCCACCTCTTCCAGAGATTCTTCACCAAGTGTGATTTAGTTGATGTTCTCTGTGTTGTGTTTGGGGATCTTGCCTTTTCCCTTGTGTTTTTTGAGGCCTACTGATACGGAGATTGCTTCTGCTACATTGACTGTCTTGATCTGCATTTGTTGGTGTGTATGGAATAGAATGTCCAGGTCATCAGAAAAGTTCAAATGATCTAGTTGAATCCAAGTTTTTTATTGCATTTCGTGCTTTCCCTGAAATGTGGAGGCCTTCATAATTCAGTCAACCACCAGAAAAAAGAGAAAGGGAAAGAGTAATCAACCATGGCTGTCTCCGGTCCTTACTTGGGATGCATCTGTCAGCTGTCCTGCATGCAACACTTTGCATTTCAGTCCGTGATATGAATTCCGGATGATGTTGACGATCTTCTCAGGCACACCATAGTGTCGAAGAAGGTTCTATGATGTTCTCTTATCCACGCTATCAAACGCTTTTTTCGTAGTCAAGGAAGTTCAATTGGTTTTTGATCGATGGTCCATAGTGTGATGATTTGGTCTAAACACGACCGGTCCTTACGGAATTCGGCCTGTTGATCTCGAAGCTGAACGTCCACTGAATCTTTCATCAGGCTCAGCAACACTGTTGAGAACTGTTCATAGTACTGGTTGTAATGCGATGCTTCTCAGATCTTTTATTGGTATCTTGATGAGGTATCCTTTCCAGTCTGTCGACACTTATTCCTTCTCTCAAGTCTTCCTGAATGGATTGTGGAGCACGTTCGCAGTTGCTTTTATGTCTGGCTTCAGAGCTTCAGCTGGTATGCTGTCACGTGCTGCTGCTTTCTCATTCTTGATTTGTTTGATGGCTATCCTAATTTCTTCGATCGTTGTGGAGTGACATTTATAGGGAGGTCCATAGGTGCTGATTGAATGTGTGATGTTTTCAATGGAGCTGACCCACGCAATAGTTCCTCAAAGTGTTTTACCCACCCGTTCCTCTGTTCATAAATCTCGGTGATTGTCTTGTCTTCTTTGGGATTGACTAGTCTCTCGGGTTTACCGTATTTTCCTGCTAATTTCTTTGTCGTGTCATATCGTTGTTTCATATTTCCTTCTCTTGAAGCTTTTTCCACTGTCATTGCTGGATCTTCTACATACTTCTTCTTGTCAGCTCTGACGCTCCTCTTCACTTGCTTGTTTACTTCTGTATATTCAACTTGTGCCTTGACTTTCTCTGCTCTTGTCCGGCTGTTGTTACTTACTGTAATGTTCTTCCTCTCTTGAATCTTGTCCAGCGTTTCGATAGAGATGCATTCCTTATGATGATGCTTCTTGCGGCCCAGCACCTCCTGACACGTTGAAATTAATGCTTCTTTGATCTCTTTCCAATCGCCCTCCATAGTATTTTCTTCTTTCAGTAGATCCTGTAAGGCTTGGAACTTGTTTTCCAGAGCTATCTTGAATTCGCTGATTTTGTTAGTATCTCGTAGGGAGGCTGTATTGAACCTTTGTAGTTCTGTTTCTTCAGCTGTCTAGTGTTTTTTTAGCTTCAGTTTCATCTTGGTCACAACCAGGTGGTGATCTGAATCTGTGTCAGCTCCTCTCCTTGTGAATTTTTTATTGATACAAATATGATGTCCGGTTCTCCGTGGTGTGATTGTAGTGTCTGTCATTATGTTAAGCCCAAATACCTCATTATTCTAACTTTCGGACATCTCAATCTATTCATTCTACTTGAGTCATATTCTGACCTTGTTAATTATTCGCTTATCAATGTCTTGACTGTCTTTATATGAGCGCGTAGGCGTATGTACACTTCTTATCCCGTTACTCGTCACATGTCTGTAATTTATCTTGATGTGCTTATAAATATTGATTAACTCTTTGTTAAAGGGGAGTTGGCTTACCAGCCATCTCCACCGCGCGCCAACTTAGCTTCGCTTTCTAATCTTCGCATCGTTCCTCCGTTCGTTTGTCTAGTCAACAATTATACGAAATATATGCATTCAAAACTCCATTCTCGTTATTTGACTTATTTAATTCCGTTATTAACTAACGCGATTTAAGTCAATGATTATATACGAGGATAGACGATAGCAACCAATCATTACGATCAAATTGGAGTCAGATCACGGGCCACTAAAATGGTGATCCCGCCACCACAAGCAAACACAACAGGCTACTAAATGATCAGTTAGCCGTTTTGCCGTAACTTATTAAGTACTTGCATTCTTGTAGAAAAACTTTAAATTTACATTGCATTACCACCGGCTTCAAATATTCTTTTTATTCTGAGAACAATCTTCTGGTCTACGGACCACTACTCATCCATGAACGACTATAAGGATGATTGAGAGGCATCTTATATGATTTTATGACATATTCTTCACCGTCTGAAATCACATGGAACATTGATTGGCAGTTTAGAAACTTAGACCTTAAACAACAAATGTTACTTAAATTTCTCACGGTTTTTGTTTCACTGTTAGACCTTGTGGTTTGTACTTGTGACCAAATGTGCACCGAAACACCACAAACATCTATTTAAATCTCAGGTTCTTCTGCAGTTCACTTTTGGCATGAAATTTCTTTAGCATATTGTCGAGCTCAGTTTAGCTTCTGAAACGCCTGTTCAGTATTATACGGTAAAACGCCTCGCTTTTGTCGACCGAAACATCCCATGCATATGAAGCGCTTCAAACAGCACTAGGTAGCTATTAAAAAGAGCATACCACTGTAATAAGACTTTGCTAACTGAAGATAGTACTACTAGCATCTAAGACTTCCAGTTATTTGACATTTCGCTTTGGTCCTTGAGTGAAAACGGCTATCCACACAAACTTCGCGCGTATAGAACCGTTAAGTTTCAGTTTGCAAAGGACAGGAGGATTGATGGCTTGTGTCAGTCCTGGCAATGATGGCCTCTCAGTTGATTCAACTTTCTTTGGAGAGTCGACGGACGGGGCCTCAACCACGTGCTGAGGTAATGAATTCCAACTGAAGTAGTTTCATAGTCGAAAAATCTGTTATATCATGTACAATTTTTTTCCTCGTATACAAATTGCTTGATCACGTTCCTATCATACTATATTTGATTTTTAACTGCTAAAAGTCGGTTTTATTATTATTATTATCATCATCAATTTTTGACCTGATTTTGTTTTCCAGTCTTCATCGTCATTGATTGCTGAGCTAGATGAATCGTTAATTCATCGATTTGATTTAATTATAGCAGCTGATTGTTTCTTTGACCAGTCCTACCATCTCAGTATGTTAAATACAATCAATAGACTACTGTCTTTACAATCTGGATCAACATTTCTAGCTATTTCTCCTTTACGTGGTAATAGTTTGTATAATTTTATTAATTTGGCTTATCAAATGGAGCAAACTTATAGTTGGTCTGTCAAATTAATACCACCTTCAGACTACTTATCATCACAGTTTATAAGTTATTTAATTGATGAATCAGATCGTGTTCAATTTGATGACAGTGAATTAGATAATAAAATTGGTCATTTGGTTGCTTTTACACGAACTAACTAGTGTTTTAAATTATGTTGGAAAAAGGAACGTAATATCATATAATTATAATGGCTTAGTTTTTTGTATTTGTAAATATTATAAATAATAAATCAGTTTTCTACTTATTTTTCGAGATTCTTGTTTGGATGTTTTTTTTATGTATTTAAAATTCCGAAGTCTAATAAGAGCAAACGGTAAGTGTACATGCTCATTTATTACTTGGGATATATTCACAATGCCTTGCTTTAAAGAAACCTTCGTAGCAGTAGTCTATAGAGTAGAATAGTTTATAGTCTATGAATACCCCGTTTTATTGAATTTGTCGTCACAACAAAATTTAAGCTTTTCTTGTTTAGTGATAGACAACAGCTTTTACAGTTCTATCAAACAAACTCTGGGATAATTGATTTTTGTATATACTATCAGCAGATGTGATTGCTGTGATTTTTTTAATTTTTTACTTATATTTTCATCTGTATTGCTTCACAGTTTTAATTCTCAACTTGTTAATCTCATTTTACACCATCTAAATATTATATTAAGAAGTAGGTTTTTTCGAATCAGTTGTCCTTATACCAGTCAACGACATAGTTTCATCATCAGTCTCCACCCTAGTACATGGACTAATCAATTCATATCATTGCGATGAGTTAGCAAATTATGATACTGAACATTGTGTGGATAGTTTGATACCATTCATATGAACTTACGCGTGTTGCTCCTAATGGAGCGTAGGCCGCCGACCAACCCACTCTATCCTGGGCCTTCTCTTCTAGTCCCATCCACTTCTTGTTCATTTTTCTCATGTTTATCTCCATTTCCCGGCGTAATGTGTTCCTTGGTCTTCCTCTTTTCCTTTGACCTTGAGAATCAAATGTGAGGGCTTGTCTTGTGACGCAGTTGGGTGCTTTCCTCAATGTGTGTCCTATCCACTTCCTCCACTGGGATCTGGTTTGTTCTCTCCCACAGTAGATTCATATGAACTAACAAAAGTTTATTTAGATTTAAGCACTTACTTGGACAGAGATTCAACTAATATTACATGGTACGATTTTCAATTAAGATCATGAACTGATCAATGTTAGACCACAATTAAAGCACTGGACGGCTGTTTCGACCTAGTATGGGACCACACGACAATGCTCATCCACAATCCCGCGCGCGAGACCAAACATTAACTGGTTCATGATCTCAATTGAAACTGAACAATCTCCATAACCCTATACTGATAATGTTACGATTTGTTTGTGGTGTTTGGTCTTGTTTTGATACTGTGTGTCTGTCTTTATATTGAAGTAAAACTATTTTGTGTTTGTGAATTGACGTAGAATGATGGATAAGAGTGGTGAATACGAAAAGGCCAAAATTTTAGTATATCATACTTTCATAAGATGAATTTTTTCTAGATAAAATTTACTTTCACAATTGTAGTCACGAACTGATCTTAACTTAAACACCATTAAACATCTCGAAACATTGAACAGCCGTTTCGTCCCAGCATGGGGTTCCCCGGCGGTGCTAATTTGTGGCCTCCCTGCGGGAATCGAACCCAAAGCCTTTCGTCTTGCACGCGAATGCTTAACGTCTAGACCACTGAACTGGTATGCAACTTTGTCTAACTTGCAAACGTCTTATGTAAAGGTTATGTTATATCTGACTTCTTCAATTAGTACTTAAGTAAATAAAATCATTTGAATATGCTGTGCTTTGATATTTCCATTGCCTCACGCCATAAAGGCAACTTTTTAAAATAGTTTAGTGGGCATTTCGAAGTTGGTTTTCTTCAAAAAGTAATCCCATCTCAAGAGGTTTTGAAAAGCAATATGAAGCTCCAACTGCTGTGGTATCATATTTTCTGAATTCCCAAAAATCCAAACTCACAACATTGTGTTAGCATCTACACATGAACTTCCTGGTTTCACTGTCCACTGGGTCAGGATCCAATAATTCACATTTCCAACTTCAATCAGTTTGCGATATAGCCCTAAGATCATATGATTTCATATCATAACTGTCTGCTGAGTGATTTCTGATGGAACTGTTTTGTCTTAGTCCCTAAAATTCACCTTTCGCCGAATGTTAATTATATTTTTGAAAAGGTATTTAGTTTAGAATTTCACAAGTGCTGGCTATTTTCAGACTTGCTGACTTATGTGTTATTACTGACATACTGATATTGAGACGTGTTAATTATCAGTAGTATAGGAGTTTTGCTCAACATTTAAAACTTACGGCTCATTAAAATAATGACAATAACATAATTCCTTTTTTACTCTTTTTCATTTTTAGTACTTATTTCTAGTTGTCGGTGGTTTTGCTTTGTTTGCGTCAGCTGTTTACATTAGATTTTACAAAGTAATTTAACGTTCGATATTTTCATATGAAAATCAATATTTTCTTACTGTTATTAGTACTGAACTTGACAGTAATTTATAATTTGACAATAGCTCTCATCATTAACTTCTACCAGTTGAAACGTATCGAACAATTGTTTCATCCTGATTTTCAATAGTTATTTAATCAATACCCGTTCAGGAACAAATTCGATTGATTTCCAGGTAGAATTTAATTGTACACGCACTATATTTGCCATCATTTGGTCAGAATTCAAATCTTAAGGCGATCTACCTATCACAAGTTTAAGATCATGGTAGTGCTGCAAAAAGGTCGTAGCCTGTAACTTAGTGTTGTTACTTGCTTTCTCACTCAATAAATAAACTGTTAATAATTGAATTTATCAGGGGTAGTTGTCTGCTTTGCCAGTTCAGCACGGTAATTTCCTTGTTTTTATTATTGATGAGTAGAACAGTGATGCGAATCGGTAGAACACTATTCATGTGATCCGGTATATAGTGCATTCACAAACTGGTGACTTGGTTTTCGATACAACTTTCTTGTTTCTATTGCAATGACAGAAATTAGATTGCTAAAATCGAGCAAATGAAGTTTGAGGATATTAGATTTCTTCAAGGCCAGATTACGTGAGTTAGATTGTATGGTCCAAAATTTGAAAGCAACATTTTATTATATTTTTCATGTTGTCTTAGTTATCACTTAAACGTATCTGATACGTAGACAATTATTCTGTCGTTGTTTTAATTGTTCCATTTTACCGAGTTTTGAATAAAACATTAACCTATCATGAGTGATAAAATTCTCGTAAGTTAGCAAGGAATCTTGGGCTCAGTTTTCGTGCTTGTTGGCACTCGTAAGCAAGGTATAGCTATAATCTTGAGAGAAGCAATGCTCTCTGTGTGACTCAAACCCGCGTTACACATCTTCATATCACATTATGAATATTGTTATACAGTACGCATTTTGATTATTACCCTGAAGAAATCCAGACAAGTTTTCTGGACAAATTTAAATTTCAATCGCTGAGATTATTTTAAATATAATTTTCACATATAATAACTTCTCTATACTCGGCGCTCAATTTTTTGTCACACTATTCATTCTAATATTGACGAATATTCGTGCACACTACAAATTGTGTTCCAAGTCGCGTGTGCTGTATATTACTACCATCTAATATGCATGCATCTCTTTTTTTTCGTAGTTAACTGTTACACGACCTAATAAATATCTTTGTCCAACGTCTCAGTGTTCACCACTCATTAAAAATATGTCATGGGGTTCCATCACAGTGGAAACAATATCTGAAGATGGAACAATCAATCCAAACAAGTTAGTTACATACCGAGATACGAAACTTTGGCCAAATGGTAGTCGTGCATGGGATTGGAACGAATCTGGCACTGGTCATTTTGCAGGAATTCAGAAACAGGATGTTGACGAACTACTCAGTTATAAACCAAATATTATAATACTGAGTAAAGGAGTACTATCTCAGTTGAAAGTGCCCCAATCATTAATTGACTACATAAATCAATCTGATCCGCATATTAAAGTAATAGTAGAGACAAGTAAAAAAGCATTCAAATTGTATAACGAATATGCAATTCAAGGTGAACGTGTTGCAGCCTTAATACATTCTACTTGTTGATAGAATTGAAGTTTTATTTACAATGCTATGTTATTTTTTGTTAACTTCCCTATTTATCATATCATCACCGTATTTGAGATAGATACTCTTTATAGTAAGATATTTTTTTGTCATTGAACTGTCTGCTTAAAGGAAAAAAATAATACCGCGGGTATTGATTTATCACGCACTTATTTTTAAAATACATTTTGTTCAACATGTCGGGATGATAGCTCGGACTGTAGTAAAAAGAACTTTCGGTAGCGACAGGATATAAACCAACGTTTTATAGAATAATAATTAAAAAGTTAAATCACAGTTTTACTCCACACACTGAGTAGGACTTTGTTCAGATATCATGTAAATGAGAAATGTGCAACTGTGCTTGTGTTAACTATGCAGCCAGATCACGTCTTCTTTCGAATCAAGTTTAGTTAGATACATTGAACAAGTAATTGAGCGGTTATGAGATTACGTACATGAATGGTGATTAAAGGTGGGTCTACGATATGACGAAGGGAATAGGTTTAGCTTGGCCAATCGAGCATCATACGGAAGCTTCGCTATTACGGGAATCAGCTTAGTTGCTGTTCTCTGTACCTTTTCCAAAAGCTTACTGTCTTTTTTGAGCAGGGGCTAGCCGCTTGCATGCAGTACTCAAGTTTAGGACGTATGAACACTGTATACAAAGTCAAAAACGTTTGAGCGTCGACATGAGTAAAGGCCCTACTTATTGACCATAAAGTTCTAAAAGCTTTGGCGGCTATTGCACGGCAGTGTGCAGTAGTCTTTAGATCTTGGCTAGCGATGACTCCCAAGTCATTGTGTGTCCGGGCAACAGGTAGCTCAGTGTTATTCATCGTGTATGTATCTGTACCTTGGTGACCGATATGCATCACAACACACTTGGAAGTATTTATCGGCAGCTGCCAGGTATTAGAGCATTCGGATAATTTCTCCAGGTCATTTTGGAGTTCTAAGCTATCACCCTTATATCGTATCGTGCTCCATATCTTGACATCGTCAGTATATGGCAAAACCGATTGTGATAATAGGCGAGGAGGGTCATATACATACAAGAAAAATAGCACTGGCCCCAAAATCGTACCCTGGGAGCACTCCACTAAGCACAGTTTCCCAGCTAGACAACTTGGGGTTTACCCATACTCTTTGTTGGAGCCAAACTAGGAAATCTTCTATCCACATCAATAGATTGCTTCCGACCCCGAAATTTCTTGGCTTATATAACAGCCGATTGTACGAAACATTGCCAAAAGCTTTGCCGAAGTCAACGTAGGCTACGTCTACGGGTAACTTTTGGTCTTTAAGAACGCACCAGCCTTCACGAGCCACTAATAAGTTAGTGAGACATGAATAATCTATTTTAAAGCCACGTTGATTTTCCGAAAGAATTCGGTTTTCATCAAAATACGGAAACAGCTCCTTCCGAAAAATCTTCTCTGAAATTTTAACAACCACTTTAGCCAAGCTAATGGGTTGGTAGTTCTCAGGTTTAGGTTTCGTACCTGTTTTGAAGACAGGCCATACTATGGAGTTCTTCCAGTCTTTTGGTAAACGAACCTGGGTTACGGATAGCTTAAAGCATATACTTAAAGGGTTTGCAACGAAGTTAGATAATTCCGTTTGTAGCCTAGGATGCAATTCATCGGGCCCCGTGGATTTACCTTTGTTAAGCTTGTTTAGCAGACCAAAAACATCGAGTCCTTTAACGGTCACGCTGTTCAGTGTTTGTGTGGGAGGATTTTTATAGACTGACGGGAAAAGTGCTTCTATGGTATACACATTACTGAAGTAGTTTGAGAATACGTGAGCTTTGCCAAAGTCGTCCTCCACTAATGATGAAGCAGTACTGTCTCCCCATAGTGCTGGAATACTTCATCTTCTTTTTGTCCTTTGGTTTACATACGAAGAACAATGCGAACCCTCCTACCGCACCATGGTGGAGAGCTTCTCAGCCCCCTCGGTGTAGTCCTAGGAATGTGGGGTGTAGCGACATTTAAGTATAAATTTCGAAATACATCACAAGCCGTTTCAATTGAGGACTCTAGCTCTATTTTCTAATCTACTGACAATGTTGAATGCACGATATCTTGTATGTTTGCTTTCCAGACGTTAGGTCTGGATTGAGCTGGCGCGTGCTCCTGTTTGACAATAACGTGGAAGTCAAAGGTTAAAACTGCACGATCGCTTTTACCTAGGAGTGGTATGTAGTTGAGGTTCGTTACGTCATCCTCATAATGAGTCAATATAAGATGATGATTCAGACTCCTGTCCGTACCTTGTCGCTTCTTTCACATGTTGCATTAGAGCACATGTGACAACCCCATCAACCAGTTCCTGCTAGAAGGAATTATCTGAAAATTCAGTCCGCAGATTTTCTCAGTCTACCATGAGAGCATTAAAATCTCCTACGATTAGACATCGACCACTTTGTGACCAATCATTGAAACTGCTTAGCGAGATCTCATTTACCACATGGCTTGGGATGCGATAGGCCAAATCAATTAGCTGCTCTTGACCCTTGCATTTCAAGGTGCAACTAACTAATTCACACGTCCCACTCTCATAGGATACACTGTCGATAACGGCAAATGGAATAGCATTCCTAATGAATAGAGCTACTCACTCTCCATAACGCCTCTGGATTCTGTCGTCTCTTACTAACGTAAAACCCTCTAAATCGAGTTCCATACTATCCGTAGGCTGCGTCAATCAAGTTTCTGTGACTGCGATTATGTCTGGCACTACAGAGTCAATCTGTACACCTAGTTCCGACCACACATTGAACAGGCTTCGGACATTAGTGTGTAGTGACCTAATTTTGTCAACAGAACGCGATTGGTTCAATGAAAACAATTATTATTATAACCAATTGTACCAGTGACTGTTTTACTGTGCTCGTTTTTTTAACTGTGCTAATGACAGCCAATATACTTACCTACTCTCCCGTTGACTTTGAACTTGTACGAATTCGGTTACGCTCAGTGACCACGCTTGTACTCCTTTGGCACGATCTCTATATTCTTTCGATACCACGAGATCGCCAACAAATACATCTGGACTACAGCCATTATCTGCCTTCTGATATTGGCCTACGGGGATCTTATTGGTTAATTGGCACGTAGTTTTCTTGCAGTTGTGTTCATAGTCAATCGCGACTCGACTCCTCGCTACAATTGTAACATATCCGAAGTCTGTTTAAATGGCTTCGTGGTTCACCCACAGTTGCGTCAAACATACTGTGGGATTCCGGAGAGTGATCGAGGACTTGCGAAGTCAGGTTGTGTTTCCTGCCAGAATCAGAACGAGTCTTGCGATTTCAATTCATAGGCGTCTCCTGCTGGATACCATTTTGAGGACGGGAGACAGAGGAAATCTCCTTTCGTGAGTTTTCAATAAAGACAGACCTTTTTGAAGAATGCTTTTTCTCCCTAGATGGATGTGAGTCAGCTGTTTCCGAACTCAATTGAAGTTGCATCACATCAGTTTGCGTGTTGACAGAGTGAGTGCTGTCCGATGTGTCACTACTAAAACACGTTTTTGCAGCATTTACCATTGAAATGGCCTCGGTTAGCAGGCTGTTTGCGTCCGAACAGCACTGCTAACAAAGCCATACGCAACCGTTTTTACTGAACCACTTTACAGCCACAGGCGTCAAATTCTTGCAAAATTCGTAGTACCAGCACTTGCACTCATTGCACTCATTGCACTGCATGCTACTTTCAACGGGATATTGACAGGTTGGCCGTTTGCACTGTCCAGCCACCAAACAGAGGTTTTAATAAAAAAAAAATGCAATGGCCTTCAGAGACAAAAATGATCTATGACCGTAAAAATGGAAAACTGTAAATTGCTAGAACCAAAAGTACTGATAAATACAATAGAAAACAAAGTACTTAAAGGTACTGACGATAAACTACTTTAGGGACAAAACGGTACCCTCGTTGGATACTTTAGCTGAAATAATTTCAATTAAAGTAGTTTTGATACACAATGAACGATCAAAACAACAGAATTTACTCCTTTCAAATAGCGCGCGTAACAACATGTTAAGTTATTCTTATTCTTGTTACGTTGCTTTGTGGACCTTATCAAGTTTAAAAAATGAGCTGAGGCTCAGTTGATAATTGGTATCCCAGATCAAGTTGCGAAGCAACCATCGAGCCAACGTGTACACTATATAGCAGAGAAAGGTGAAATAATGTTCTTTGCAATGATTTTGTGATTTTGCTGCAGCAAAGGACTACTTGAATATGAGGACACTTAATATTCTTTCAACCCAAATGGACACCGATCAAACGCACAGCAATTAAAATACTTGGCCGTTCAAGGTCGTTTGGACGTAACAGCGGGCTGCTCTGAATTGACGTGACTGGGGCGCTTGTTTTGAACTGTCGTAGCTTAACGATTTTCCAAAAACCTCGTTTGGTAAGTTTGTAATCTTACTAGAATGTTTGTCAACATAAATCACATGATGGTAAAACTTTTTAAGTCATTAGCTGTGAATTGACTGTTGGATGTTGCACATCCCAAGCTCCCAACTTTGGAGAAATTTTGGGGTAAAACCTCAACGTTTGGGGAAATGGCACAAAAACCCCAAAATAGGTAAAAATTTCCTCAAAATCGGGAGCTCGGGATTAATGTACGCATAAATCTATACTTCGTGTCACTTACCGCAGCCCAATCTGCTTAGTTGATGACTTTATTTTAGAAGACATTCGGCGAGACTCTAATTTAGGGACAACCTTTCAACGAATTTTGAGTGACCTTGAGAATAATAGATAATCAACAGACACATAGTATAACGTAGAAATATATTAGAAGATACTAATGGATTACAGTGAATATACTTCTTTTACATGATTTAAAAACTTATCAATGTTTGCTAAAGTTTCAGATGTTTTGAAATCATATTGCATACGGTATAAAAAGTCATAAATTCCAAGTACCTGTCGAGTATATTTACGGAAATGCTACTTTCACAATCCTACTTTATACTACGTCCCCTGTTGTATTTTCGCTTTCTCACTGCCGTTTTATCTGTCTGCACGATACATCCTACTCCTCCGAATGATTGGTGTACATGTGTTATTTTAGTTGCACGGCAGTACTCTTACCACTGGACTGCTGAATTTTCATAAACAACTGCAAACGCCGCAGCCAGTGTTACTGGTGTATTTATTACCCGATTTGCAACTATTATCTTAATCTGATTCATTTTCAGTAGCAATCGAGCAAAGAAAGTCCCCGTTCTAGCAGACTTTCTCCTCCAACATGAAGGACAACGAAATATAATCTCACCACGGTTATTTGCACACTTTACTGCAGTCATTTGATAACCACAGTCTCACGTACAAGAACTTTTTAGTAATCCTATCCCTTGTAGCCTCTCAATAATCACACCTTCTCTAAAATCCGCTGTAAACCGATTATATGTGAGCATCAGGTGTTAAACTTGGCTCTGTGACCTTTAAACGGCTCAAACGCTTCTGATTGGCTCGTCCCTAAATTAGAGTCTCGCCGGACATTCAGCTGCGGAATGCAAGTAACAGGGGTGAGACTAAGTGACCCTGAATAATATCAGTCAATCACAAAACCTAATTCAGAGTAAGAATATATTATACAGAACTAAAGAATTAAAGTGGTTACACTTCTTTTACATGGTTCAAAAACTTGTCAAGGTTGATAAGAGGTTCTAAAATAGCAATGCATATGGTAGAGGGAATCATCCATATGGCTCTAATATTCTGCTCATGGAGATCTCAAAAACTCTTTCAGCCTTGACCACATAGCTTCAATTTTGCATTGAACACTCCGGCTTTTAGGTCCACAAAATGCCACTTGTGATAATGACACGATACACATAACTAAATCTATGTAGGTACATGTACGCTCTCCAATCATCCATATATATTGTAGTACCCGGCTGCAGCCAGTATTACTGGTGCTTTTATTATCCAGTTCGCATCAACTGTCATAATTTCGCTTAGTTCTCACGTAGGTTCCTGATAACAGTAACGGTGAATGCCTTAGTACAGCATATCAAAACTTACTTTCCGGTGCAAACCAAGATTCTTTTTTCTTAGACTTGGTAATCACTCATGCGACTGAGGATATTGCGAACTTGAGTATTCTCCCACCGTTAGCGAATAGCGATCACGCTGGTTTGTCATTCATGTTTAGAGCTAGTGACATGACGTACGACCCTGTTAAACCTCACCCAAATGTATGGAGAGCTAACCTATCAGTCATTCAGGAGTATTCTGCTAAGACATTGGTCAGTTGATACTAGCTTAGTTCAGTTACGTCCTTGTTTACATCATGCCTAGTACTATTTAGGCCGAATAACTTCCCACCATGGATAACTAAACAAGTCAAGAAACTTCTTAGACGTAGAAAAAAGCATTGGAATATGTTCACCTCCGTTCTGGCTTGTAAAGCGTCAACGCTATACAGTCGTATGAAAAACAATTTGTTAGGGATTGTAAAAGTAATCCGGAGCGGTTATACTCGTATATAAAAAGCCAAAATCAGAGACGTGTTAGAATTCCATCACTTTTTGTACAAGAAAATCCTTTACAATTAGCGAGAGATGATACCGAAAAAGCTAAAGCTTTATCGGAATACTTAGTTAAAGCGTTTTCTATCAGCAGTCAGGAATAACTAACGATTAATTGTGATTGTGGCAACTTGTTAATGGACCCTGTAGTTATTGAGAAAGGTACTCCCTTAAGACTACCTCAGCATCTCAAACCTGATAAGTCCAATAGTCCTGATGATATTCATCCTAGGATTATGAAGACTATTGGATGTAATTGCCTAACCTATAGCCATACTGTTTGATATCTCTGCGGCAGTCCAGACTAAAAAGACGCAATCATTTATTTATTATTTATTTATTTGAACACATAAGTATTGGTACAAGGGGGCACCAAATATATATGCGCCACACAAAACAATGATAATTTGAAGATAAAGGAGAAAAAATCAGAGAGAGAGAGAGAACAATAATGGGGAAAACGGAAAGGTACAATCAGAAGAAATCTTTCAGTTAAGGAAGATACAACCACTTTTTATGAAGAAAGTAAAAAAAGGTTACAGCAGGATCGCCACTGGCTTCTATTCTGAGTCATATCTGATAACGTCTCTAGCCACTGTAATACACCATCTCTCAGACCACAGCCAGGGAGTCGTGAAGGACCAACAGAAGCTAGCCCTTTGCAGCTTTCTTTCATACCACGACACCTTGTCATATACTGGCCACCTCTCCGCTTTTTCCAACCAGTCCCAGAGTCGGCAAATAATGCACGACGAGGAATTCTCTGGGACGACATTCGTAGAACATGTCCAAGCCACCGAAGTCGGTGTTTCAAGATGGTGACACCAATGGATTTATCGTCTCTGTGCCCGAACACACGATGCCGAACCCCTGCATTACTGACCGTTGTTCCTACCTTGACGTGGTGGTCGGGCTTGCCTATCGTGATGAAGCAACTGAGCTATACTGGCTGGAACAACCGTTCCTCAAGGTCCTACCATGCCAGACAGGTCGGTTGAAGAGCGGTAAGACTAAAAGCAACAAAACAGAGATCCGAAGGCGAAGTCGTATTGCTGACTCTACAGAGGTGTGACAGCAGTAAGGTGTTTCCTTCACACAACCAGCATAACAGCGATGCTGCCTTCCCAAAAGGAGGGGTGGGTTTAGAAAAGGTCGACCCTAGAAATGCACACCTCGCCTTATCCCACGGATATCCGTCTCCGGCGGTAAGGTCTCAACAAGTACGGAGCTAACACAAAAATTACTCATAAACAGGTCGTGTGTGACCGACCTCAAGCAGCTGTCTCTTGAGCACTGCGGTCACGCTCTCAGGTCACTAAGACCACCTCTAATCCGATTTCCTTTTCAGGCACCTCCAGCAGAACCCTCCCACGGTGTGGGCAACGGGGAAGTGATAACCCCCCTCATACCTCTAACAGCACTCAAGACCACTGTATTCATAATCAACCTACCTCTTCAATTCCTATTCTTCCTCTTACATCGACTTTCAAATCTAAACTCCCTCTTTTAGCTTCCTCCTCAATTGTCACCACAGCCAACGATTCTAGTGCGCAAAACACTGTCCCAGGTCTACTGAAACCCCGCTCTAAACTACACATTGGAGCCTCCAACGTACGCACACTATGCCAAATCGGTCAGCAGGCTTCCTTGGCTAAAACCTTAGAATCTCGTACCATTGATGTATGCTGTGTCTCCGAAACACGCATACAGGATCCTAGTGTGGTCATTCACTTGACCTCACCTCGGCAAAACGGAGTGCCGACGAGATACACCCTCCGTGTATCTGGCGACCCGATGGCTAGTTCTCGTGGACTGGCAGGTGTAGGCATAGCACTAAGCATGAGGGCGGAACAAGCGCTATTAGAGTGAATCCCCGTTAATAGTCGTCTATGCGCTGTTCGGCTAAACGGCTCCATAAGAACTCGAAAGGATAGGGACACACGTCGTTGCCTTTTCGTCGTTTCTGCCTACGCTCCCACTGACTGCAGTTCGGATGAAGTGAAAGATGAATTTTACAGAAAGCTGTTTGAACTTCTTCACAAAGCTAAACGTTCAGACATAGTACTCGTAGCAGGCGACTGTAATGCCCAGGTAGGTAGCTTAAACGAAACAGAAAGACATTTAGGTGGGTATTTTAGTATTCCGGCACAGAGAACAGATAATGGTGATCGTCTGCTGCAACTTTGCTCAGACAATCGTTTAATTTTAGCAAACACAAATTTTAAGCATAAGGAGAGACATCGTGGCGACCCCCTTCACCAAACCAACGATGGACTCAAATAGACCATATTGCCATCAGTCATCGTTGGAGAGGGTCGGTAGAAGATTGTCGCTCATTCTGGAGTACCTGCTTGGACTCCGACCATGCCCTAGTACGAGCACGCATCTGCTTGCGCCTCACTGGACGCACAAAAGCCACACAAAAAAGACTCATTAGAACCGAATTGAGTAATGAGAAAACCAAAAGTAGGTTTGAGGAACAACTGAGGTCACACTTAGGTAGTTCTGAAAACGAGGCTGACCCCGATGTTGATTGGAAAGACATACAAGCGGCTGTGGAAACAGCAGTGACATCTATTAGTGATTTAAACCACAGGGTTACAAAGAACCAATGGATTTCTTCAAGGTCTATTGCACTGATAGATTCTCGTAAACTCATCCCATCAGGTTCTGAACACGATGAAGAGCGTAAAGAAATCAGATCTAGATTAAGCAAAAGTCTAAGGAATGATCGTGAGCAGTGGTGGGCAACGAAAGCAAAAGAGATGGAAAAGGCGGCGGCTATAGGGAACATAAGACAACTCTACAGACTAATACAAGAAACTGGAATTAATAAATCAAGTGTAAGTCAGACTATTTCGGAAAAAGA